GCGAGGGCGCGGCCAGCTCGAGCCCCGCCCCTGACACATCCCCGTTTTGCGCAGGCGCGGCGGAGCTGGAGCCACGGCCCACGCGGCGGGAGCACGCGGAGGCTCTGCTGCTGGCCTCCTGCTACCTGCCCCCCGGCTTCCTGTCGGCGCCCGGGCAGCGCATGGGCATGCTGGCTGAGGCGGCGCGAACGCTTGAGAAGCTCGGCGATCGCCGGCTGCTGCACGACTGTCAGCAGATGCTCATGCGCCTGGGTGGTGGGACCACTGTCACTTCCAGCTAGACCCCGCGGTGTCCCCAGCCCCAGCGCCCCTGCCTCCAGCCACCTGGGTTCCGTGTGGCTTCTGTCCTGCGTTGGAGCGCTGAAGGCCGAAGGCAGCGCCAGAGATCCTGGCCTCCACGGTTCACCCGCGGCTGCACTCTTCCTTCCGCGTGGAAGGCCTGAGGGGCGCGACTCCGACTGGAAGAGCGGCGGCCATGACAGTGCTGACCTCTGGTGGCCGATCTGGGCACTGCAGGGGCCGAGCCGTTGGCGGGGGAGGGGCCCTCCTTGCTCTGCAGGCACCTTAGTGGCTTTTTTCCGTCTAGAGGGAAGAGAGGTGTGCACTTCCCTGCGCTGACGGAAGCCAACTTGGCTTCCCCGGACTGCGAGCGGGGCTCCCCCGGACGCCTGTCTCTCCCGCGTGGGAAGGCGTGTACATAGTGTAGCGTGCCTGACCTGAGGCTCCTGTGCTACTTTGCCTTTTGCAAACTTTATTTTCATAGTTTGAGAAGTTTTGTACAGAGAATTAAAAATGAAATTATTTATAATCTGGGATGTGTTTCTTCAGCTGATGGATGTGCTGACCAGTGAGAGTGCTTGGGCCCTCCCCCCAGCACCTTGGCAAAGGCTTCCCATCCCCCGCCGGCCGCTGGGACACGACTTTCCTCTTTCCGATGTTAGTGTGGGGAGGGCTGGCTGTATGGCCTCCGGCTGACCTGTCCCCCTGCTTCCAGGGCACGTGTTTGGGCTGTGTCAACCCTTAGGGCCTCGATGGGCTCAGCTGTGCCCCCGTCAGGTCCCTGGGTGGTGTGGGAGGATGGACTGTCCTCCAGAACCCGTCTGTTGTATGACAGCTCGGGTCTCCCTGTAAGTCTGGCATGGCTCACCTCCCCCTTCCTGGCCCCGGTCACTTCACAGCAGAGAAGCCTCCGACCTCCCTCCGGACCTGCGGTCACACTGGAGAGGGGCCACGGCGGGGGTGGGGGGGCGGTTTCCTGTTCTGTGAAGGGCAGACTCCCTGACTCCATTCGTGCCCCCAACCCCTCCCTTCTTTCCCATTCCCCAACTAAAGCCTGGCCCGGCTCCCAGCTGAATCTGGTCTGAATCCACGGGCTGCAGATTTTCCAAAACAATCGTTGTATCTTTATTGACTTTTTTTTTTTTTTTCTGAATGCAATGACTGTTTTTTACTCTTAAGGAAAATAAACATCTTTTAGAAACAGCTCGATACACACAATCTTCAGTGTGAAGCAATATACTAATAAGAACACTAGTCGTCTTAACATTTACAGTCTTCATATATATTATATATATGTATATGTATACATATATATACACTATATAACGAGGCCAGATATAATACACACGTTTACCATTTTACAGTCATATGTACAGGAAGTTGCTAGGGCGGCCCTGGGCTGGGGGCTGCGTCAGGTCTATCGAAGCGTGGACAGAGCTGAGGACACGGACGGACAGGCGGACGGACTGGCAGGGACTGGCCCGGGCAGGTGGTGGCTGTGTGGGCAAGGGGCATCGCGGTAGCCCCCTACCCGGCAAAGGCCCGGTTGGGGCTCTGTTGCGGGCGCACGACGCACGGCAGCGACACACGGGAGAAGCGAGCATGTTCCCAACATATATACATTCTATGTAACATATATATAGAGGGGTACACAGGTTTTGTACACGAATCTAGCGCTGTCCCTGCTCCCGTGCCGAGTGGGCGCGGCGGTCCCTGGTGGTGCACAAATGTCGCGCGTCCGCCGGAGGTGCGTTCTGGCCGCTTCTTGCGTTCTGTGCTCCCAGACTGGGCTCCAGAGGTGGGTGGAGGACTGGAAAGAGGACGAACAGAGAGGCCAAAGGGTGTCCCAGTCCCGCCCATATTCGCGGAGCCCACAACCCCTAACTGAGCATAGCCCAGGTCTACCCCGGCTTTGCCCGAACCGCACGAGAGCTGTGCGGGAAGGGCCCCGGACGCGTTCCGCACGGTTTGTTCCAAAGGCTCCGGCCCCTCCCGCGCCGGTCTAGCCCGCTCCCAGAAAGGCTTTCTTTCTCCCCGCCTCGTCCACGGAGCTAGGAGCTGCCCTCCGCCTCTTCCAGGGCTGTTTCGACCCCCACCCCCAAGCCCAGGGCTCCCAGCTGCACGCCACGACCGACAGGGGTGGCGGCAGCACCCACGTGGAATGTGTGCCACGTCGTCTTGAGATTCCGGAGGGGAAAACCGTCCCCAGGCCAAAGCCGTTTCCCACCCCCGCCAGAGGCTGAGCGTCCCGGGGAGTCTGGCCGCTCGGCGGGCTCCACCTCTGCAAGCCTGGCCCCTGGGGTGGGCAAGAAGGCCCTGTGACGTCCGGTTCCGGGAGCAGGCAGCTCCGGAACGGGTTTTCCTCCCTACCCGGGCCGCAAGTCTGAGCCCTAAGCGGCCGGATCCACGATCCGGGACCCGGATCAAGGATCGGCTCTGGACCCGCGAGGGGAGCAGCTCAAAGGCCCGGGGGCTGCGCAGGCGGCTCCTCTCCGTCGGCGGCGGGCGGGCAGGCGGGCTTCGGCGGCTCCTCCGGCCGTTGGGGTGGATTACAACGGCAGCCTCTGCAAAAGACGCCCACCCGCCAGTTACCGCCGACCTCACCGTCCACAGGCCCCGACCCCTAGATCCCCGACCCGGGTGACGCGGGAGCGCGGCGGGGGTCTCCGCCTGAGACCGCAGGCCCTACCCCGTCCACCTTCACCTTCGTGCCGCCGTCCCGCGCCCCCGCCTGCCCTACTCTCACCTATCTGGGTGGGCGGCGGGGAGGCCGTCCCAGGGACGCCCCCAGGCCCTGGCTGCCCCTGCCCCTGGCTGCCCCTGCCCCGACGCCTGCAGGTCTCCGGCGGCGGCGGCAGCGCCAAGTGGACCGGGACCGGAGCTGGACTGCGGCGGGGGCTCCAAGGGGTGGGCGGGGGAGCTCCCTCCCTCTAGGGCTGGGCCCTGCGGGGTTGTGCGGCCCCGGGGCTCGGGACTGTGAAGGAGGTGCGGGATGGGACTCCTCTCCCGCTTGACTCCCATCCCCCTACAATGCACTGGGTCCCCTACCTTATGTTTGGGACATTTCAAAGAAAAGTTCTCTTCGATGAATATGCAACCTGTGACCAAAGAGAAGTTTCAGTGGTTAGGACAGGGTGGAGGCTCACAGCCTGAGGTTTTGTCCGCAGCCAGGAGGGGAGCCGCTGCAGGGGCTCTGTCAAAGAGCAAATCGAATCCTGCTGAAAACCTTCCACATTCCACTCCACGGTGCGGGTACGGCCCTGGCCTGGTGGTCTGGACTCACCTCACCTCCTCCGCCTCCCCCCGAGTTCCACGCGCCGCCCCTCCTCACTTGAGGCCGTCCCTCACTCCCTCCCCCAGCCTTACTCTGCCAGCCACACTTGTCACTGCGCCCCAAGAGGCTGGCCTATGTGGTGATCGTGTGCTGGTCCTTGTTTCTTCCCTACCGGCAGGCAAGCTTCCAGAGAGCACGAGCTCTCGTCTTCCTTAGATGTATGCCTGGTCTGGCTCTGCAACACCCTGTGGACAGGCTGGTGGTGGTGTTCCCCCAGGGACCCCCCCAGTCCCTAGTCCCCTTCTGGGCTCCCCTCCACCACCAGCCTTGCCAGCCACTGATCTAAACAAACCCCAGACCCAAAAGTAGCCGGAGGCTGGCGCTCTCTCCAACACGATCTTTCTGTTCACACTGGAGGTGGCTCTGTGCAGTGGCATCATGACAGGCAGTGGCCAGAAGGCAGGGTGGGGACAGCTCTGCAGTCCGGAGGGCAGGGCCGGGCAGCAGCAGGCCTCTCTGAGGCGGTCTCCCCTTGTCTCCAGAAGCTGGGGGTGCCTCAGACCTGGAAACTGCCATTCAGGGCCAGCAGCTGGAGATGCGCCACCAGCTGGTTCCCTTCCCTTGGCTCGAGCAAGCCAGACGCAGTTCTGGGGCTGAACTAGATTTTCCAAAGACACTGGGCTAAAACCCAAGGCCTGCCCCCTGCACGCCTGAGTAGCTGCAGGCGCTCCTACCAAGGGAAGTTGAGGGTAGGAGGTCGCTACTTCCAAACAGGCTCCCTCAGCACTGCCCAGCACCGCCCCGCATGGGGCATGGGGTGGGAGACACTGGGTAAAGCCAAAAGATCTGGCCCTGGCCCTGGTGCCTGCAGCTGGGGAACGGTTCAGACAGGATACCGGGGTGTAGCAGCCTCTGCCTGCTCTTCAGAGTCACTGCTTGTCTCCAAACTGGGGTTCCTTAACAAGGATTGGATGAGGGGAGGATGAGTGGGCCAGGACAGTGCAGTGTGGGGCAGAGGCTGGCAGCCAATGGGCAGCCCTGGTGCCCTGCAGTCCGAGTGCCTGCTGCAGAGGCCTGCGGCTCCTCCCTGGCCAGACATCGGATCATCGTGGCCGGCCTGCTCCCTCAGGCCTCACTCCCACCCCGCCTGTCTCCTGCCTCCCAGGTGCCCATTTCCCTGCCTTCACTCTCCCTTGCCTTCTCTGGCAGCTGTTCCTCAGTTTCCCGGGGGGTCCATTCCTCCTCCTTAGCTAGCTGTTCCATGGTGGGCACGACCCCCATTGTCTTGCCCCTTCTAGGGCTCTGATGAGCCCTCGCCTGCGGATGGTGGGTGAGACTCGATCCTCAGCCCAGCTGCCTACACTCTGTATGTCCACAGGTGCTACTGCAGGGTGGCCACAGGGAACCGCCGTGTGTGTAGATGGCCTGGCAGAGCAGCCCCGTCCCCTCGCTGCACCCAGGTCCGTTGCGGTCACCCCATGGAGAGGTGGGCTGCACTCCTCTGTGCTGGACTTGGGACTTGCTTTGATTAACAGGATGTGGTGAAGACCAGGATCTAGGCTGTAAGAGGCCCTGTGATGTCCCCACTCTCAGAGCCCTGCTGCCGCGCCGCCATGAGGACGCACCCAGGCCAGCCTTGCTGGAGGATGACACAGCCTGCGTGCAGCAAAGACAAGCTGGCCCAGCTGGGGCCACCCTAGGTCATCCTGCTCCCAGCAGAGCCTGCAGCCAGCTCATGCCTTTTTGAGAAAGAATGAAGGGCTGGTGTTGGCCTGGAAGGGCCAACAGCGCTGCGGCATGAGCTGGCCCTGTCTGCATGTGTGCACCCTACTTCTCCCACTTCGTGCGGAAGCTGGGCGTCAGGCTTGACACCTCCCGTTCCCTCATCCCTTATGTCAAGTCCCGTGGATTCTGTGCCAGCTCCGTCTCTGAGCTGTATGTCTCCATCTGCACCAGGCAACCCTTCCTGCTTAGACCACTGCAGTAGTCCCTTAGCTCAAATCACGTCAGTGTCTCGTCTTCCCAGTCTCTTTCCTGCCTCAATCCTCACGGAGCAACAGGAGTCCCTGTTATACGAGGAATGCTAGGATTTTATCTGAAACAAAAGTTCTCTCGCTCAAAGCCTAGTATACAAGTTCCACCACTAAACAGTTGCTGCCCACCTCCCTGGATCTTTTGAGGCCTGGCTTAAATGTCACCTCCTCCTGGAAGCCTTCCTAGATTACTTCCTGGTTCAGACAGGATGAACCTCTTCCACAGTGACTACTCTCTCCTTCCTGTCTGGTTTTCCTAACTTTGGCCAAGAACTATGGTTTTGCTGTCTGTCCCACTCATGGGTGAGCCCCTTGGGAGTCTGGGCAGTCCTGGCGTAGGAGGAAGAACATAGGACATGGAGCAAGAAAGCCAGGGCATTAAGTCCTGGGACTGTCCGTGCCATGCTGTGTGCCATGGGTGAGGCAGCCAGTCTGTGAAGATGGCCGGAAACAACATGGGCTTGTCGCAGGGTTGGGAGTGATTGGCAGTCCGTTCATCACTGTGGAAGGAGGAATGTGGCTCGTGGCAGCTATTATGTGGAGTGCGGCCACACGCCTGGGTAAGTGGCAGGGTCCATGTTAAACTCTGGCTCACACTGCTCAGAGTGGGAGGACGGGGCCAGTAAGAATCCTCCACATCCCGCCCCAGCGAGACCCTCCCTGCTGGGTGCTGGCAGCTCAGTCCCCTCCCAGAAAGTATCAGGATCCAGAGTCTTCTGTGTCCTCCCTGGGGCAGGCTGGCTGGGAAGACACTGGCCAGGGACCCAGCAGGCAGGTGGGCCACAGGCTGTAGTCCCCTCTGCCCGGGGCAATGCCAGCAGGGCATCAGGTTATGAGGAGTGGCAGTAGAGGGCGCTGCTGGGAGAGCGACGGGAGCCTGGGGGGCCTGGGCTCTGTCCGCTGGGAGGTGGGTTATGATTTCACCTCTTTCCAGGCCAGAACTGGGAGGGATTGAGGGTGAGGGGGACAGGTCTTAGAGGCTGGACCCAAAATAGGACTGAGGCGGTACTGCGTTGGTAGTGTTCATTATTCCACTCTCCTCCCGGCAGCTCCGGAGAGAAGATGCTATTAATCACCTCCATCGTACAGGTGGGGAAACTGCGTGCAGACATATTGACCAGCTTGCCCAAGACCACACGTTAGAAACACCCCTGGGAGCCAGCGTGGCCGCGCACACCTGTGGTCTCAGCTGCTCGGGAGGCTGAGGTGGGAGGACGACTGAGCCCAGGAGGTTGAGGCTGCAGCGCGCCGTGATTGCCCCCCTGCACTCTAGCTTGGGCGACAGAGCAAGATCCTGTCTCAAACAAAAACGAAAGCCCCCACCAGCACTAGGGTTTGCATCCAGGCCAAAGTTGGTCCCAAATCTCCCAAAATACTGTTGTAATCAATAACTAATATTGCACGATAAGCAACTGCTTTCTTTGGATGAAATAAGGAATAGCTCTGAGCCTCAGTTTCCCCACCTATTCGATAAAGGCAAGGGCTCCCAGGTATCTCCAGCCCATGCAGTCTGTCGTTCTGTGTGTCCAGTGACAGCAGGGGCTCAGTAAATGCTTGTGGAACATTTATTCCATGAGTTAGAGGAGGGACTGGGAGAGGATGAGGGGAGCCTGGGGCTGCCTCCAGACCCCATTACCCTAATCCAAAGCTTCCACAACTGCTCCTTGTGGCCAACAGGAAACCACGGGTCTCAGTCTCTGTTTTGAACCTCATCATCCCCAACTCATTTGGTTTTTGCTGTTGTAGTGGTGCCTTTCTCTTTGTCTCTGCTCAGTGAACTCCTATTCATCCTTCAAAGGCCCAACCCCAATACCCCTTTGTGAAGCCTGAGCTCCTCCTCGCCCGTTAGCAATGACAGCTCTGCAGACAGCATTCCACACTGTAATTTATGCCTCTATCTTCCCTCCCTGCTCTGGGCATTCCTCAAGCAGGTGCCTGGGGAATGCCTCATTTCCACATCCCTGGCATTGCCCAGCAGAGGTCCTCAGGCAGAGAGAAAGGCAAAACAAAGAATTACCAGGGGCCGGGCATGGTGGCTCACACCTATAATCCCAGCACTTTGGGAGGCCAGGGTGGGCAGATCACCTGAAGTCAGCACTTGGGGACCAGCCTGACCAACAAGGAGAAACCCCACCTTTACTAAGAATGCAGAATTAGCCAGGCATGGTGGCACATGCCTGTAGTCCCAGCTACTTGGGAGGCTGAGGCAAGAGAATCACTTGAACCCGGGAGGCGGAGGTTGCGGTGAGCCGAATCATGCCATTGCACTCCAGCCCAGGCAACAAGAGCGAAACTCCATCTCAAAAAAAAAAAAAAAAAAAAAAA